TCAGGTGAGGCTTCCCCCCCCCTCTAACATTCCAGATTAGTACCTTCATTGTCAACCTCCTTAGTTATCAGGCCCATATTATCCCCTTTGAAGGAAGCCTTCTTTTGATCAATCTACAACTCTTTTCCTTCCTCTTGTATTTCTTGGTCATCCCAATCCTCTTCCATTTCACCTTCCCCTTCCAATTCCTTATCATAAAAAATTTAATCTCCAATTCCCTCAAGATTCTCATCGTCTTTATTGAAATGATCATGAGAGAGATTCTTCCCCTCACAAGGTTCTGCCTTGCTCTTGTTTTTATCCGTAGCATTGAGTTTTTGAACCCACACCGGTTTCAGGTTTATAAGCTACAGTGGTTCGATGGTCATGTGGCTTGGGTTGATGAAGTTGGATCTAATATTCTTCCTTATGCGATCCTTTCTCTGGTTTTTGACTTAGGTCCAATTTTGCCACACCAGTTCTCTTATGTTGGACTACTGTCCATCCTTCTTCACCATTTTTGTTTCGAATCTCAAGACACTTGTTAGCTTGGTGCCCACCCAGCCACAATTCAAACATAGATAAAAAATGTTATCTTAGAATGCCTTAATCTTATGCTTTTGACCTCTAGGAGTTAGAGGCGTTTGTAGCTTGATGGGTTTGGTAAGGTTGACACAAACACAAAATCGAAGATAAACAACTCTCAGAAACTCTTCCATGTTGGAATCAAGCTTTAGCACCGGTCATATTTCCTGGAGGATAATTTCTAGTTCATCTCTTGACTAGCAATCAAGAGGGAGACTAGGTAATCAAATCCAAAGATCAACTTCTTCGATCTTTGTTGTGAGAGGGTTGAAGTTATTCCTCTATTGGAAGGTAACCAAGCATTTCCCATTAACGCTGAACCATGGGCCTTCGTTGAGGATTAGATTATAATCTTCGATGTTGGTGAATGATAGGAGGAAACCGTTACCAATGAAGCGGATATAAGTTTTACATTTAATACCCCCACTTCATTGCTCTTTCCATAATGACCTTAAGGCCCCATTTGCTTTTCGGTAAGTTACTTACTCGGGTAAATGCAATTACCTGGGTAAGAAGTAAGTGCATTTACCTATGTTCTTTTATTTTCCAGGTAAATAAGGCATTGACCATTTTAGCCATAGAAATCCATTACGCTCAGTTCGGAAGAAGTACAAATACAAATATGTAGAGTGCAAAATCTAATATTTTGTATCTATTTGTATCGTACATATTTGCAGTTGTACTCTTTCCAAACTGAGCCTTATTAAAAAGGGCATTTTTGTCCCATTCAAGTATCGACAACTCTCCTTATGTAGGAAAGTTATTTATCCACCTAGGAAATAGGTGTCATGTTCTAAACTTTCCCTAATCCCCACATAAAACTGAAAAAAGAATATGGGATTCTTGATCAGTGGAAACCAAAATCCCATTGACCAACTATCCCCCTCTCTCGAAATCCAAAAAAAAGAGGTTCAGGCTCCCCAAGAATTTTTACAATTGGGGATAGTGCCCATCACCTGTCTTGGTTGTTTCTCTCCGTTTTGATCTCGTCGAGATTAATCGACCTAGCAACTTTGGAGTCTTCCTTTATAATGACGGAACGGGATCTGCTCCTCACACGGGGTGCCTCACATGTACATCCACCTTGCATTGGGAACATCTCCCGTAAATAATAACTTATAAGTACGGGAGATGTTCTCAATACATGGTATGATGTGTGTATGAGGCACGAGTGAGGCGCCCTGGGTGAGGAGCAGATCCGGTCTCTATAATGACCCCTGCCCCTGAATTGGAATTCCTGGGATTTATTATTCCAATCATTCAGAAAAAAGTAAGCAGTTTCACGGTTGGGTTTGATTCGATGGATGACGTGGCAAACTGTAAGTGGGGCAGTGGAGAATATTTATGCAGGGGGCCTGGTGTGGGGTGGTGCGTAAATTTCCGCTACAATCAGCCAATCAGATACAGACGTTAGCAACCCAGCCAGTTGGCACCCTAAAACTTCTGCCGTGGATGTGTTTTACAGATGGAATGTCGCGTCTATAAAATCAGGAGAACAAGGGGACCTACCCTTTTTATTAAAACAAATAAAATACAGAAATTCTCTTTCTCTCTCATCTCTCATTGTGTACCTCTTTCCCTTACCTCCTCGGCTCCTCTGCTGCAGCTGCAAACCAAAGCAACGGGAAAAGCACAGAGTATTTGAGAGAATATAGAAGCTCGCAATACGACGATGGATCCCGATTCATTAGCCAAGGCGTTTGTGGAGCACTACTACACGACCTTCGATGCAAATCGTGCGGGCCTCGCTAACTTGTATCAGGAGGGCTCAATGCTTACTTTTGAGGGTCAGAAGATCCAAGGCTCACAGAATATTGTAGCCCACCTGACCGGCCTTCCCTTTCAACAGTGCCAGCACAGCATTACCACCGTTGACTGTCAGCCCTCCGGCCCCGCCGGCGGCATGCTTGTCTTCGTCAGTGGCAATCTTCAGCTCGCCGGCGAACAACATGCCCTCAAGTTCAGTCAGGTATATTATCAAAGTACTTGTTATTGTAATCTCCTTTTTTAGGTCCTCCTTTTATTCTATTTAAACGCTTCTGTGGTTTTTTAGGGTTTTATTTGTCGGAATCTCTTGTTCGATCTGTTTCTGGTTATTGAGTTCTGAAACTTGATTGGTAGTGGTTGATTGTTATCGCGTAGATGATGCAGAGCTGATTTTTAATTACATTTGTTCTTCTTAACAAGAAAAAAAAAAGAATTACCTATCATCTCAATTGCTCGTTAAGGTATTATGATCCGGCTGTTGTTGTTGTAGACCTGGATAGCAGTTTCTCTCCTTCTTATATGTGTGGTTTTAACATAGATTTAGGGTTTTTGTTGTACTTTTTCTGTTTGTGATGCTTTGGATGAGTTTGAGCTATGAACTGGATCATGGTGGTAACTGTGATTCGTTTAGAAATCGCAATAACTACAGCCCATCTTTGTTGATGTTGTTTTTGGTACCTATGGTAGCGATTGATTTATTGGTGATTCAAAGCTGGACTTGGCTGCTTTCAGTTTGCGGAGAAGCTTGTGTCTTTGTGTATTTTTTTTTTTTTTTCATTATAGATACTTAACTCTGTCCCTTTCGTTCCTCAATGTTTTCTTTTGGTAATGCCAAGTACTATGAATTTTCTTGGTTGTCTTATACTAATATCTTTTCAATTCTCTTTCTCTTTACCCTTTTTCCATCCAATAGCCATGGGCATGTATCATTATTGTTGTTTCTTAGTTGGAAATTCAAGCCGGTCTGGCAATTCTGTCTCAGATTTGGGTTTCTTCTTTATTGAGGTTTAGTAATATTTGGTTTTCATAAGTTCAAACTGCACTTGTTTTGTTCTTTTGATTTAGATTTGTATCTCAGCCATTCTTCTTTGCACACTTGTATTTACTAATGTAGGCAGTTCTTTTCTCTTATGATCATTTTGGAAATTGTAATTCTACAAGGACTGCTACTAGCTACTTGATTTCAAATATGAAATAAATTAATAGATTGGGGTTCACATGCTTGAAGTGCTTTTGTTCCATTCCCACTCTACATATGTTTGTTTTAACTTCCATCCTTTCATTTGAATATGTTTTTTATTTTATGCTTATGCATTTTAGTTTAAGCCAATAGGTTTTTTTTTTTAAATATTTATCTGTCAAAAAATATTTGGTTTCTTTCTAAAATTTAAGTTTATATTTTTATGTATTACTTTTTTTTTCAACAACTGTGCCCTGCTTCAAAAAGGTGTTCCCCCTGCCATGTGCCATGGGCTCTAGAAGGCCTTTTGCTTTTAAAACACTGGAGTTGCTTCCATCTAGAAGAGCACTTATACCAGTTACTACTTGATTAGCTGTTTGGGTGACCTAAACACAGAAAGAAGACGGTTTTTCTTTCATATAGCCACATATTTTGATCCATAAGGGCCATAACTGACAACATGAATGGGAAATGAGGCATTTCCAGCAGCTAATGTAGAAGGTGCAGGAAGAAGAGAAGTTATTCCAGCTTTTCGTTCCCCATCTATGTTGAGACTCCTTGTAGGTCCGATTATATATCTCTACCCTTTCAGTATTAGATTTCTCTCTATCTGCTCTATGGTAATCAAATTACACCATCAGATTTTGGCTTATATACTAAGCTTCTAACCTTTGCAAACATCAAAGTATACGGTAAACTGAATAGTCATTACTCATTAATTTGATATTTGGTATTTTGGTCAGATGAGTAATGACCATTCAGTTTTACCATATACTTTGATGTTTGACTGCACGAACCATATTGGTTAATCCATTTGCTGATCAGTAATTGACCCATGGTTGCGGTATAGCAGATCAGCTACTTTGATGTTTGATCTGCACAACATGGTTGATCTGTTATACTGCAACCATGTTGTCGTTGGGATTGGTTAAGTTTTCCTGTCAAATGAGAAGGATATGTTAAGTAGTTAATCCATTTGCTGATAGCATCGGATTAGGTTGAGTTCTTCAAGTTAGGAATTATTAATTTTTGGTTTCTGAATCCAGTTGATGGTTACGCCAAGAATTTATAATTCTGGAAGTCTGGAACTTGAGTTTGGTTGCATATCGCCTTTGACTCTTTGCATGCTAGGGTTCTTGGAAGACTTTTTATCAGTCTGAGATTCTTGAAAGATTTTTTTCTTTTCAGATTAGGGTTCTTAGGAGATGCCTCAAATTGGAGAAGGGAGAGGCTAATTCTCTCAATAGATTGGACCCTATGACCTAAGGATATTCTGTTGACATGTTTATTATTTATATAAGCTTGAGAGTGGATATTCTAGTTTAATTTTTGTGGAATTTGGAGGCTGAATGAGAAAGTTGATAGGGAGAATGGGTGCTTTCCCTTAAAGATGGGGAGATCCTCCCTTCTACTTCATTTAGCTTGAGGTAAAGGGTTGTCTGTTTCCATTGCAGTATCATTGCTGTTGCTGTTGACATTTTTTTTGTTGGATGTGGATACATGATCATTTTCATGTTATTTACCTCATTCACAATCTCTTCGCTGTATTGGACAGTAAACTTCATATCTTTGTTCCTTTTAGAAGGTAACCATGTCAAACATGCAAAAGGTACATCTACTTGTTTTCATTCCTTTTTTTAAAGAAAAAGAAAGGAAAACCATGTTAAGATTCCTTGATAATTGTGGTCTTATTTTGGTATGGTAATTCCTGATTTGATGATTGGTCCTCCAATCCACCTAGAGGTATTTAACAGTAACACTAAGGTCAGTTTGGAAAGAGTACAAATACAAATGTGCACAGTGCAAATACATATAAAATAATGCAAAATGCAAGGTTTTGTACTCTACAAATTTGTATCTGTACTCCTTCCAAACTGAGCCAAAAAGTTCTGATTTTGCAAATACTGACTAGATTTAGGTCCTGCTTCATTTCCACTTTGCTAATTTGTACTTGACCAGAATCTGACCCTAGCCAGTCTCATATGTTCGTACTTTCTTTTTTCATGTTTATTATTCTATTTTGGTTCAGGTTGTGATCTCCCTCTTGACAATCCATCTGCAGTGAATATCAGTGTTCTACCATGTATTGTTATTTAACTACAGATAGAAATAAAACAGGTATCTAAAGAAAAGGCCATTGCCCAATGTTGGTCCCAGCTACCTTGGGTCTTGGGAGGGGTAGACTGGATACAACCCTAACCTTTATTTTTTTTTTGTTCCCCCCTGCACAAATTGGCTTCTCTCAGACTTGAACCTGCATTCTCATGCTTGCCAGCCTGACACTTTACCATTACACCAAGTAATGGCCACTATATCTAAATTCTAAAATTAACACCCAAGATATTCTCACACTTTCTCCTATTACTGAAACATTATGGCCCCTATTAATTTACCTTAACAATTTTGCCATAGGGAAAAAACGTGTAATTGTGCAAGGTGCCAACCAGCTGGTTGGGTAAGGTCTCCTGAAAAAAGTGTAATAGTTATTAATTCATTTAGTACCATAAATCTGTTTTGATTTCTTGGGTTTTCAGGTTACCTGCCCTGACTCCACAACGAAGTACTGGCTTGTGGATTTCTAATTGATGCATTTGAATTTCTGAACACGAACTATATGCTTAATGGGTGCTTATGTTTTTCAGTGAATAATAGCAAAATCATATTTTTCTTAACATAACTTCTGTAATTGGTTTTTTATGAGTAAGGGCTATTTATGCTGCAAGTTTTAACATCTACATACACCGGAGGACGTTTCCACAAATATGTGGTTTTGTAATTATTTCTATTTGTCAGATCCTGTCCTCCTTGGGTGTACGTAAAGTTTAAGATCCTTACAATTGAATGGTATTTAGGTGTTGTCAGATCCTATCCATAGATGAGATGAAATGGTGCAGTTTCATCCGTGCTCATGATAAAGAATTTGCTGAAATAATGCATTTTCTTTTGTCATGGGAAATGTTGCAAAGAGCCTTAGTGCAAAGAAGAATATTTGTGTCAAGAGTGCTCAACTGTCTGATTCTTTTGGAACGAGGATTTGGTGTTAGGTGGGTCCAGTTTTTGGCGGCTTTATCTGTTTTATTAGCATTGAAAGTGGTCAAGATTAAATCATCTCTCCTCTGATCTAACCTTGCTGAGGATAGTGTTTTTTCTCCCTCCAGGATCTATTGGTTCCTATTTTTTCATGGAGATTGTGGTTTGGAGTGTTCATCGATCGGGTTGATATTTTCTTGTGTAGGGTTACAACTTGGGTATCAGAGTTGACACTGCATCTGACCAGGACCTTGGCCGGGCTCATTCAAAATTTGATAAAACCTCAACCTGAGCCTGCCCAAGTCGCAACACTATTCCTGAGTTTGTCCTATTGGAAAAGGCAGTTCTGTATGGGCAGAGTTGGTTGCATTTTAATAAGGTTTTGAAGCTAGCCTACTCTTCTGCTCTTCAGGCTGGTCTTGTTTGATTGTATTGAAGGGGATTGCTGGGTGTTTGGCATTAGCTTCTTTGATGAACACTCGTTCAGGTGGATTCTAGGTCTGCTAACATTTTAGTTATTAACTTGCTTGAGGGAAAAGAGAAGAGTTGGGGTGGGCAGTGCCGCCGGGGGGGGGGGGGTGATTGAAATTGAACCTGGTTTAGAGAGTACCAAGCCCTGAGGCCGCTCAGTACTTTGAGGGTTGGCATTGTATATTTGCTGGTTATGTCCACTAATATTCTATGTTTTCATTGTTAGTTCTCTGCTATTGGTTTTCTGATAGCCTGGGATTTTCTTACTTCCACCGAATTAGTTTTGATAAAAGTCATTTTATTGTTGCTGCTAAAACAAAAAATCACGGTGCAATACATTGTCACAAATGTTTAGTTTGTGTCTTGCGCATGGCAAGAAATCCTCTTGTTACCTTGTGGTTTTGTGAAAGGAGTGTGGTATTCTGAGTTGTGTTTGAGTCATCTTGCTATTCATCATTGTCTCATTGGTTTCTTTATTCTCGTTGCTAGTCTCACCATATTTTGTACTCGTCCATTCTTTTGCTTGCAGATGTTCCATTTGATGCCCACCCCACAGGGAAGCTTTTATGTATTAAATGACATTTTCCGGTTGAACTATGCTTAAAAAATGAGGGCGACCACCTGAGAACTAGAGTGGTTGGGACTTGGGATGTCTGGAACCGCCGATACCAGTTTGCTTAATCCTGTTTAGTTTTTAGACAGAGAATTGGGGGTCTTTGTTTTTTTTTTTTTTTAAATATTAGTGGTTGGTTGGTTGTTTGTGTTTTTACCTTTTAAATATTATATTATATCTTGGGAACCACCTGGGATTTGCTTTGTTGTTAAGTGGTTTGGCTGATTGGATGATGCACCGCCCTACAATTCCAACAACTAGAGGGCCTGGGAGATTTGATGGCTTTTAAATTTTGCATTATCATTATATTTCTTTTCAAATTTCTATTCTATGTATGTCTCGTCCCTCTTCATTTCTTGCAACTTGCAACTGAACTCAAGGCAGGATCCGCGGAATGTGTGTGGTTTGGGTGGAAAAATTCTCGAACTAATTAAAAAAAGAGAACGAAATGCTCCTTTTGAGGGTTGGATAGTGGAACTCCTTCGAACTCCCTTCCTCTCACTGGTAGTCTTCAAGTTTCGATTGTCTTAATTTTAATCTCTCCAAGGAAGTCTAATTTTAAGCTTTTTTTTTTTTTAAAGCTGAATTTTGAAATTTGCCACGTAATGGAAGGGAAACCATTCGGACCATGGATGTGATGATTAGTCCTCGTATTATATTGTGACTTGGAATGCTAGAAAAGAAAAATCATGGGCGTGGGTTTCCCGATTCCCTATAAAATGGTAGATGTAATGTTTGGGTTTTTTACTTGTGGGACTGCTTGCTTGTGCGAGACAATGGGTATACGCCACATGCTTGCTACGTAGTATTGAAGTGCCTTGCTTATTTAGCGCGTTTTGTCACCGTGTCTGTCGTCTGTGCACTGCTGCAACTGCAAAAGGGAAATCAAAGGCAAGAGCCAGACGAAGAGCTGATTTGAAATTGAAACGTAACGATGCGCTCTCTCCCTTTCCACTTGTTTGTGTAATTGTGTTTGGTTGGTTTGCATATTCCTGCCTTTTAGAAATTAGGGTAAAAGACAGGTTTCGCCTAAATACTAAAACATTTCCTTTCTTTTTCTGAAGGTTTCACTTGAAATTGAATATTAAAACATCCTCCTTTTCAAATTGTTTCAGACAAAAACTTCCTCTTGATCAGCACTCGTTTGCACACGTCATCATGTGGGTTAATTTTTTTTTTTTAAAACCCAAAATTGCTCTTTATTGCCCTGCCATGAAACTAAAAACAATATATGGTACAATGATCCATTTGCAACTTGGAGCTAACATATGCCTGAGGTTGAGATACTTTCGTACATACTTTGTAAGATTTTAATGGACCATTTTTGAGACAAGCTTCATCTCATCCTGAAGAGTCATGGGCCCTTAGTTTGGTGGAGCCTATTTATTTTATCGGAGAATGTAGTCTTGTATCTCTGCAAATGTCTTTACATCTGGCTCCCACAACCAGCAATCAAATTCCCATGGCATCGGCTCCCAATTTATTTGCCCTTTGTTCATCTCTATCATGCACTGCCTTTTCAGCCTTCAAATTGATATGATCTTAGGTAGCTTTGAAGATCTCTGCATCTATTTTTTTTTTTTTTAATTTTATTTTTTTATATATCCAACTTCTGATGATATAACAGTGACATCAAACAAATTTGCAACATCAATGGAATCCTTAAATGGTATCCTCAAGGCTCAAGTAAGTGTCAAAGTTGGAAACTCCAGCACCTCTCGGTAGGCACATTGTTTCAAAAGCCCAATTTGGAAGTCTGCATGCCGTTGCTATTTGCAAAATACTCTATACCTTTTCAAAATAGTCTTCATTTTGGAGCAAACAGTTGCTTTAGAAACAATAAGTCTCCAAAATGGCTGCCCATCTCCTTGATATCGAAGCTTTTCAGGCCATGGGAAGCTATCCTGAATCCTTCCTTTATCTTTGTTGCACTCCACTCAGTCTCAAACCATATTTCCTCCCAATAGCCGTTTATGTTTCCTCAACGGGCTTTGCCAACTGCAAAAGGTTTCCCCTATATCATAAGCCCTCTTATTTGATCCTCTATCTGTACGTATCTCCATGGAAGAGCACACTACTGATTTTGATAGCTTAACATTCTTTAAAGGTTTTACTCCTCGCAGGAGTACTCTTGCAAAGGATTTCATCCAGCAAACTTCTATATCTTTTATTTGGGGAAGAAAACGATGGGTTAGTGCTAAAACCTCAACATTGACCCTATAAGCACTTCTATATCTTGCAAAGGATTTCATCCAGCAAACTTCTATATCTTAATTCAATGAGTTCCTAGAAATTTAAAACCGAAGATAGAAGACAGAGTTCTGAAGCTTGGGTTATATCACTTGTTTGGACTTCAAATATAGAGCATTGATGAAAAAAAGAGGTGAATTATTTGTTTGCAGTTATAAGCACCTCTCATTCATTATTACAGCCATCAGTCATCCTGGTACGTTTTCCATTACAGTTTCGGTGGTTTTCTTTTGAAAATTTAATAAATAATGAAGGGCAAATAGGTCTTTTGATCAATTATGTCAAATATAACGTATCTTGTTCACAGAAGGGAGGGTTAAGTTCTCTCACCTGTGAATCTAGAGGGGATGTACGAGTCTTTAACTATTTATATTGAAAACTCAGGGGAGATACGTCTTTTACCCTAGTAATTAGATTAGAATGTCCGCCTCTCCCTTTACACTCCACGTACTGTACCGCTTACGTATGTGGTTACGTACCTCCTCTATAATTGGGATCTGCTCCTCAGTCACAGAGGTGCATAAGGACCTCACAGCCCTATCCCACTGTGTATCGGGAACATCTCTCAAAGGGAGATGTTCCCAATACACACGGTGGGATGGAGTGTGAGATGCGCTCGGTGAGGAGAAGATCCGGGTATACCTTGTAGATGAGATTGAGATTGGCTAAAACTCAGCAGCGGCAGAGGACGTTACAAATTACAATACATAGAGGATGATGTTTTGAAGTATTTCAAATCAATGCTGTTTGATGCAGATGCTTGCTGCTTGCTGGTGGGATTTTTTATTCTTGGTATTAATAAAGAAGATGCCTCACCAGTCACCTCTACTCTACAAAGGATGAAAGGATGTCCAATCAGATGGCTACAACTCATCTAATGGGGTTCTTGTCTACGCCACAAGGAAAGGCTTACCGAAGTTGAAGTTGAACACGTCGCAGAATAGAGAGACCTTTGATAGCAAGCTTGGGAGGGAGTACTAGGCAGTCGGAGCTTCTGAACGAAATACAAGGTGGCGGTCCTGCTGATTTCTGTGATTCAGTTCACGAGCTGCAATAGTGAATAAAATCTGGGATTTCTACGTCGGTGTGTAATTAGCCAGATGGAGATAGGAAAAATCTCCTTCAGTTAAAAAGCCTAAAGTACCAGTCAGTCTGTCAGTCAGACAGACTCGGACCAATTTCGAATCGGAGAAACCTAACAAAATCGCGGAGACTGAGAGAATGGATGCATGTATGAGTATGTTGTATGACTGGACTGCTGCAAAAAGAAATAAAGAACAAAATGCAAATGCAAGCCTCTGCCTCTCTATTGAATTTGATTTTGAATACATATATATATATATATGATATATCGACTGACAGTATTCCTATGCTATGCTATGGTATTAGTATTATGAAGACCCAAATTATTTATTTGGGTTTTAATTAGAACAAGAGGGGAGTAGGGGACACACGCACGCACGCACACCCTTGAATTGATAATTGATTTAATGGCGGAGTGTGGTTCTAGTGGTGAGAGACGACCTCATGTCTACAATTGCAGATTCATCTGCACCCAACTTGATGGCTTCTTTGCTCGCTCTTATGAATCTTAATACAGCGCCCTTCACATAATCATGAGCCTCTTTCACACTCATTTTGTTAGTCATCCCCTCAGGGAAGCTGCTCAATAAGTGGTCACCGTTCAGAACTGCAGCTAATTGGACTATCTCGCTCTGAAACTCTGACAGCTTTCCATCTTCTTTCGCTTCTGTCTTTCTTAAAGGGGCCACTTCCGGCAGTACCTCTGTAACAAAGAAAAATTTTTGCTCACTTGTTAAATCTTAACATCAACAAATTGGGTTCGAGTATTAATTTTAGACCAGAAGAGATGGCTGGAATATATACCTGGGCAATCAGTTCTAGGGGACGTTAATCCTCCCAGGACATGCTCAAACGTCCCGGCCCAAGCATCTCTGTGCGTCAAGAAATTGGAGTTAAGGTTGAATATCTTCTTGATTGTTGCGGGTATTGAAGAGTGCTCGAACTCCGAGTCTGGAGTAGGTCCATTTGGGGCACTGATTACTGCAGATTAACACATCCAAATTCCAAACAGATAAATCAAACTTGTTTTATGCCGCACAAGTAAAGCTAATTTGAATCGTGAATCTGCAGCAAGTGCAGATGAATAAACCAGCAGAAACAATTTCCTATTCAGGATTGCTGGGATCAGAACCTGAAGAAGAAAAAGGGAAAGAGAACAAGTTAATATTACCAGTCCCTTTCTTGATCCATGGAGAGACCATGATTGTCGGCACTCGAACTCCCAAGCGATCAAACTTGAAGAAGTAAGGAGCAGGGCCAGTGTTGCCATCTGGGTTGGGCACATTCACATAGGGAGTCTTAACGTGGTCAAAGAACCCACCGTGCTCATCGTAGGTAATAACCAGAAGCGTCTCGTTCCATTGAGGACTTGATCTCAATGTCTCGTAAACCTCCTTCACTAGCTTCTGCCCACTTGCGACATCGTGAGAAGGGTGGTCGTCGTTGGCGGGTAACCCTTTGAGATCGAAATATCTTGGCTCGATCACCGTTAAGTTTGGCAATTTGCCTTCTCTGGCATGTTTCTTGAACTTGAAATCGAACTGATGGAACTTGAATATGTATTTCAATTTTCTCAGATTCCTGTAGAAGAGAGTGGTAGGAATGTTCTGGAAGTAAATGCCGAAGTCCAATCCATTCTCATGGAGAGAATCGAAGATGGTTTTCTGTGGGTACCCTCTTGCTAGCTGCTTCGGAACATGGCTCGTCGAGCCATGAGAAGTCGCAGAGTAGACGAAGAGCCTATTTGGTTGTGTCGGCCCAGGAATTGAAGAGAACCATCGATCAAACACGGCGAATTCCCGCACCAGGGAGGCGTAAACGGGTACAGATTCGGGTTTGAAGCCTTTCATGACAGTGCCTGAGAGGTTGGAGAGCATTGCCATCGCCTGTTGGACAAATCCTGACATGGAAGGAATGAGGCTGGATCCGAACACCTGCTCCTGGACGTCCTGAAAGGAGTGGCCGGGATCTGGGTCGACAAATTGGGCATCGTCAGTGAAGCAGATCGAATGGGACTGGGGGGATTTGGTTGAGACTGGGTTGCATTCGTTGCCTGTGACTCCATTGATGGATGGATTGACATATTTCTTCATCCATCCGAGCATGTGATCGAAAGACCGATTCTCCAGGACAAGGACTACAATGGTCTTGATGGGTTGTTGGATAGAAGGAGCAGAAAACGTGGGGTGAGAGGCATAGGAAAGGGTGAGGAGGAGGAGTATGAGGAGTCTCGGAAGAGTTGAGACCAGGGGAAATTGTCTGGTTTTGAATCTCCCCATTTTTGGTGACCAAGGGATGAAACAACAACTGGGTCTCTCGGTGTTTCTTTTCTTTTCTCCTTACTCTGTCATTCTCTTTTAGTCTCCTGCTTTCCCCTGGAATAAATAAGCCAGCGATTTCGAGTGAAACGGGGTTTCTTTTTGTGGAGGAGATGAAGCTGAATCTGTCTAAGCCACAACGAGGGAAAATCCGTCTTATCAATCACGGACTCGCTTTGAGAGGGAGAGGGATCTAGAAAAGAAGAAGGAAACAAAAGGGGAAGCCACTGCTGGTTCAAACTCAGAGAACAGTAAAATTTGATGGTAAAGTAGAGAGAGATGGGTCTATGGTTTCTGTTACACTCTAGTCTACAGAAAAAAAAGGAAAAAAGTAAAAACCATTTTTTTTTAGTTTTTTCTTCTTCCCAGTCCCTTGATTTCACCACCAACTCTGTGCATTTTATCACGGGAAGTAGAGAAGCCAAATCCCAAATGGCAATGCAAGCAGTATATTGTGGCCAAATGGAAATGGGTGCTAATGTGCTACCGTTCCCCTCTCTGTCTCTGTCTCTGTCTCTGTCTCTCTCTCTCTCTCTCCCCATTATTTTCTCCGATTTAAGAAGAATTAACTAATTATGTATCAACGCAACTCACTGAGCTGTTATCTGGTATCGAGTCTTTAACTCTTTACTGATTTAGAAGCTGAAGGTATCATTTAGATCTTTTCTGTCCAGAACCAGTGTCCTTCCCCCCTTCCTGATATTGTCTGTGTTGTGAATTGTAATAACTGATAAAACGTGCCCAAAGGCCAAAACGTATATTAGGAAAGCGCCATTATTGATACACAGATCATACACCAGATGGCATGGTCCATATTAATTAAAAACTGCTGTTTTATTGGCTGGGATATACCAATTGAGTGGTTACCATTCATCTGCTCAGATCAAATGCAGTACAGCAGTTTTTCACTCTTCAATGCTTCTTAACCGGATTAGGCTAGCCTACTGCCTACCTACTACATCCACCAATTTTTCTTGAGGAACCAACCAACCAAGGGCTCACTGTGCTTATAAGTTATAACAGAACACATAATTTTACTGAGCTAAGTATGAAATGGTGCCTACAGCTTACTGGTCTTTTTTTTTTTATTTGCTACTCATAAGCGCGTCTCACACCAACCTCACGTTAAATTCACATTACTCAGCCTTGAACATGGTTTAAAGTATTTGGCTTTATGATTTTAACTTTTGAAAACAAGTAGATTTACTTGTCATCATGTTTGAATTGCGTGAATTGATATTTGTTTTTTTTTTAAAGATCTAAGCCCTTCGAGGTTCTATTAAGAAGTTGTCTGTGATTTCCCTTCTAATATAGTGTATATTCATTTCATTAACTCATACTGCAAGAGTCTGGTTCGATATATGTATATATATATATATATATATATATATATATATATATAAATTTAATGGTTGTTCTATTGTACATCTTTCAGTGCCCCATATGCTTTCTTTTGTGAAAACAATTAGTAATGCCGATGCATTGAAAATTGGTCGGAGGTGTTTTCAGTGCTTTGTATTAATGGGCATTTTCCAAATATATTGTACTGATGATACTTCCACCAATCCTCCTCCAATTTTAATACAATTTGGTGGCTGCCCTTTCATATAGAATAAAATCAGGAATATCTCCATACTTATAAATTATCATTCACGGGGAGAGATATTCTCAATACATGGCTGAAAGGCGCTGTACTACAGAAATGATTAGTGTTGGAGTAATGGAGTTCACATCTCTATATCTACTCTATATCTACTCCCTTGCAACTCTCAAATGAAATAGAGATAGAAAATAAACTTATAACATCATACCTGAATTGCTTTTTAATTATATACATATAAAGCTGGTGTGCTTATGCTTTAACCAATCAATATTCCAGAATTGGATAAATCCCATGCATGGCTGTGTAACCAATAAGAACACCCAACGTCAAACCATATATACAGAGAGTGAGTGAGAAATTTATTAATTGGGAGAAATAGCATTTTATGCCTGGCACGGGACACTATGATTCAGTTAATCCGGCCGATCTTCTGTGGGTATTTTATTGGCAGCAAGAATTTGTGAAACAATAATAAATGATATATAAAATAATATTAGTGGCAGAAGATTGTGATTTGTGATAGTGCCACATCTTTCTTACTTGGATGCATCTGATCACGTGGTGCACAAAGAAAGGGCACCGAGAGTCCAGATCATCTCGTGATATACTGGGGCCCAATTTCACATGTGCTGTACTATGATTGTCCACTACTCTTAGATACTTGTCTTGGTCTCACGTCCAAACCACCATCCAAAACTTTAATCGGTTGACTTCTCTCTCTCTCGTGTTGGTAAGGAATATAATGTGGATGTTCATATCTCACTATATATTCATGGCCATCTTCAATCAGGTTTACAATATTCCATGCCATGGTAATGGAGTTTGGATAGCTATTATAATTCTGTGGGGTTCTACTACTACAATATTTATTATTTATAGTCGTAATTCAAATATGCTGTATGCATGCACTAGCTATCTTGAAGTTTCAAATATGTCGCTGTGCCTGTGGTCATCAGTAATCACATTCTATATATGCATGCAACCCCTCCAAAGTTCATCCTGAATTGTTGTGGATGTTTCAAACATAATTTTAACTTCAATGCTCCTTAATTTGTATATCTCCATTTTATCCATATATAGCTGATTAGTGTCACCTCTCTTCTACTCGCTACTTATTTCGTAAACTTCCTGGTATTCATTTGGTTTTCAGTTTGCAGTTTGCTCCAAGCTTTTTCTGTTAATGAAGGTGGGTAGTCCATTCCAATCCATCCTTCCAAGTTCCAACCCAAGATCAAGATGCATAGCGGGGACCAGCATTTAATGACGTTGGGATCTGCTGGGTTACCTATTAGCGGGATCCAGCGATGATGGATAACTGGTATCAAATCGATCCTGAGTGGGACTCTTTGGCCATGGGACCTGCACACCACTCTAGGCCGCCAAATAATTCACGAGAGAGAGAAAGAGATCCTATGCTTGGATTTTGAGAAAGTTGGGACTTGGCATTCAAGCGGGTCTCCTCAACTCAACCACTCCCATCTCTGGAGTCAGGACAGAGGGCGCCGAGGTACTAACCAAATTTTCAAGCTCCAAGAAATAAAAATACAGTGGATCTAGGAGCAGAAGGGGGGGGGGGATTTGGACTCATCAGTCTAAACAAAGGGTTGGGAGATGCATATAATCTTCTTTCATGAAATTCAAGAGATCCCGTGAAAGATCTTGAGAGTCAAAAACATGTCTATTTCTTTTCATAATTCCCAGATTAAGAAGAAAATATGCGCATCTATCTCATCAAGCTTTTGTATTGGAAGGCCCCAAAAACTCTATCTCATCCTCTCATACACATTCCATCTGAAAGAAGAAAACCAGAGAGTTCAAATTGCACCAGATGTCTTATTTATGCCCTCCTTTTCCCATTCTTGATTTATTAATATAAATCAAGAGGTATACCGACTTCTATGCTTAGGAATTTTCAACCTACCAACTGTTCAACGCTGGCAAATTCACATGGAAAGGACTGAGTCTCTGTTTGCTTTTCTGCACAGGACTAATTCTTTCTGTTTTAGGAGTGATGGAGCAGTTGGAAATGTGAGGATTTATATTAATAACACCATGTACCAATATAATCTAGAGCGATACAATCAAAGCGGAAATTTTGGTTAAGGATAATAATGAAGTTTTCACAGAGAACCTCTGCATATTAATGTAGTCTGAAGGAGACGAGTACTCCACCTTACGTCCATACCCCACCTCCATGAGAACGCCTAATGGACACGATGCGTTGCAAAACTAATTGATCCACGGAATATCTACAACCCCTCAGCAAGACACCAGACAGCAACACAAAGACAGGTAAACATAGATCGAATCATAGAATCATGTTGGCAGTTAGCACCAACCTGACAGCCTTGGGAGCCGTGCCTGAGCTCATTTGCATTGATATACCACAAATCCACAATCCAAGCCAAGCCCGAAATACGCACACCATAATCATTTTGGCTGAGAGTGAAATACAAAAGACGGTTGATGGAACATGGGAGGTTAGAACCCCTGGTTCTGCATAGCCAAAGGATGCTTCTTCATAGTAGATAGGCTGTTTATTTATACTTTTTCACTTTAAATGTTTATTTATATTTTTTCATTTTAAAAGCGTTTTCTTATTTTTATTGTTTGGTTAGACTTTACTTTAAATGTTTTTTTACTTTTTACCTCATATTAATACCCATTAAAGTGTCATATCAACATTTGGTTTCAAGAAACGCTGAGGTATTGGGAAAAACAAGAATTTGATGTTTCCTCAAATGTCCCATGTACAAAAATCAAAGCGTTTTAGTTTTCTACCATTTATTTGATAAAGGTGAAACCGAACAGTTATTTCATTTTGCTTCATATGCAATAAACACCAATACCTATGTAACACTAATATAATGGCATTTATTCAATAAACACCCATGAAACCAAACACAACCTAAATCTGATTTAATCCTCACAAGAACATGCTCACACCGTGCATCGGAAATATCTCCTAATGAAAATAAACATACAACTATGAAGATGCATGTTCCCAATGCACGGACTAAAAGGCTGTGAGGACGGTGTGAGAATGGTTCTGTAAGGACTGAATCTGAACCCCAAAACCACATAACCCTGCTCCATGGTTTCAGAAGAATTCACTTATTATGTAGCCACGTGTCTAAATTTTCTGTTGATGGCAAAATAAGTTATATTTTGGATGATGTGCCAACCTCAAATAGCCCAAATTTTAGAGATTGCTTATTTAGAGCATGAAACGGGCCACATCATATAACAGGTACTCACCCCGGTGACTGAATCATCGCTCTGTAGATACTTATTTTAGAGATTGCTTATTTGTGCAACAGTTAGCCAGGCAGCACCACCCAATAGACAGCATCTTATCCTGCAGTTAGGTCCTTTACGTTCCGCTGCAAAGAATGGTTAGATCTAGAATCCGCTTGATTTGAATTGGCCATAGTTTTTGGATAATGAATCAATGCATGGTGAATGGTGAGGTGACTATATTAAAGATTGAGGAAAATAATGAAAAAAATTGGAAATTGGTATCTTAATTAGCCATATCAGCATCAGTTAATTCCTAGGTATGGAAAGAAAAAGAAACATGTAGAGCAAATACAAGCATAGCATTTACAACATGGTTACATGTATTCATATGTGACCAATCACAATCACTTGCAACTATTCTTAAATCAAAATAATATTATGTACAACTGCTGAATGGCATTACCGTATACAAGACCACAAGGTGAATAAAAACTTGGACCACCAGAATAACCAGAAACTGTGAACGTTTAGAGTTGCTCATATGGGAACTGAAACATATCATTTTCCATATATTCGTCATTGCCCTGTAAAGCTGATGCAGTATCGCTCATTGCGTCACTGAATTCAGCCTGCAGATAATAATTAAATCAACATGGGAGACAAGGGTAATACAAAATACTAATAAGAAAAGACGAGGAACCATAATTTAATCACAAAACCAATATTTTACACGGTTAAGAATTTAAGATCCATGGACTTGTTTGCGGTTTCTTCAAGGGGCTTGTTGGGGGGGTAGGGGGTGATGCAAAAAGTGAACAATTAAACTGAGGCTTTTGCCTGGGCTGAGGTGCAATGTGCACCGGGCATACACCTTTTGGAAGGGCCTGCGCCTGGGCCTAGGTGAGGTGCATGCCTTGAAATGTGTCTGAGGTGCAGACCTTTTAAATCACTGGTCAAGTCCAACTACATACGATGTGCTACCCTATATAACAGGTACATTGACATGCATACAGATCTGAAGTTGATATGAACTGTGACTACTAACATGTAACAGCTCTCATGTCTTTATGTTGAGGATATCATACTCCAGTTAGTGACTGTTATCATGTATAATGCAGGATCCTGTGGCCCCACATGCTTGACTTGCCTGGTACTCATAATAAATCCTTTCTTATGGGCAAATTTTACATTATAAAAATAAACAAATTTATGGATAATTCTAGTTTAGTAGGTTACCAATACAAGGTGGGGTATAGAACAATGTAGACTAGAGTATAGAACATTTGACTGATATCCAAGGAGTCCCTATCTGGTATATGGTTTGGAATCTGTCACATCATCTCTCCGGATGACAGAGATAGTATAGGTAGTCTAAGGAGGCTCACTACCTACTTCAACCTGATAAGGAAACCTTTTTCCGTGTTCATTCATCCACGCGGCAGATGTAGGGCAGGTCAATGCACACATATGGTTAACCTCAGTAGAATCTCAAACGCATGTCATGTGTTAATGCTACACAACGGCCAAGATGATCAGAGATTCAGAAAATGGGCTGACCTTGTTACATGCGGTACAGTGGTATATTTTCCTATCCTCCTATCTTTGTGCAACTACGTTTATAAACATTTGTTCTAATTTGGTATATTTATCATGTCTTGATAGGTCCATAGACAGAGATTTAGATCATGACTATCTTTCAATTGTTTGACATACTAACCTTTGCCTGATGGTAGCATTCAAGCATGCGGTGATACTGTTGACGTGCATCAGGAGACTCAACCATGGACAGCACAGTTGAGAGAGCTTCTTCAATAGCTGCATCCACTTTCTGTTTTCGGAACACCTTGAGAATGTCTTCATCTTCACTTTCGTCCGTTGACTCCAATTCTGGCCGGAATCCTCGTAAACCAACTCCTCTCCGACACCACCGCAGCACAACCTTATCTAAAACGCCAACAGCCCATACAATCAACTTGTACTTCTTCCTGACCTGATGGCCTCGCACATGAGCCTACCAAAAGATAAGAATATTCAAAACCTCACTATTAATATCTTGTCTGCATTTCCTAAAGGAGTTTCACTTAAGTTCAGGAAAAAAGTAACAAAAACCATACGGGCACTGGGTTTTCCCTTCCTCATATTTAAGCATCAGTGAATATCCATGTGGGTTGAACAAAGATGAAACCCTACTTGGAATTTTCCAGGAAGGACATACTTGTGATATTTTAGCCGTTCATGTACTCTTAATTACAAAATTAGTAAAAAATACAAAGTTAATAAAAAACAATCGTAAAAATCTACAATCATTAAACTAAAGACATTAAGAAAGTTCATGTAAGTATTAGGAAAATCTTTAAAGAACATAATCACCTCTTTAGAAAGTATATACAGTGTAAAAATTCTTTAAAAACAATTACCTGAATCTTAACTACTTTCTGCCGCAGTGATAAAAAGTCTTTGCGTCCTTTCCAGCCACGATATTTCTTCTGAATAGACAAAGCTGCTTTATCCAACCTATGATCACGAAAGCTGCGGAAGGCCAACTTTGATGCAGCTGAAAGCCCATTAATGTCATCTGGAGCAAAACCATATTCGTCAACATTAGCACCAGCACAGGCATCTCTCTGTTGCCTCCTTCTGAAAGAATGCTCACGAAAAGCCGATTGAATACGTGCAGCAGCCTGAGCTGCATTTCGGACTGCAGCCAAGGAATCTTTAAGGGAGAGCTGATCATCAATGGCACCGAAGCTTTCCCTTGAAATGCTTTCCACAGTTCTTTCTGCCTCCACAACTGCAGAGCCTTTGGAAAGCTCACTTTCTTCCAGTGTGAGGGACGAAAGATGGCTAGTTAGTGCCTTCTCTGAAAGATATCCTGCAAGTCCCTTGTGGCCACTGGCAGCAGCAATGGAAGCTGGGTTTCTACCAATTGGATCTTTGGAAGTAGGGTCTGTCACAGCTCCAGCTGAAGCACCAGCTGCTAAAAGTGCAGCAACCATCTTTTCCCTGTGCAGAAAGACAACATTTCTCTTTAAAACCTTTCATGATTTCCACTTTCCATAGACTAGTATATTGTGAAATTCGTAGTAGCATATTCTTTATATTTCACCCATTCAATTCATAATTTACTTCAGTTATTTCTAAACCAATCTTGCCCCCCCCCCCCCCCCCCCAAAAAAAAAAAAAAAAAAAAAAAAAAGAAAAACAAAAAGGAAATATGGTCTGTTCACTGTCTTCAGTTTCTTGACTGATACACTAAACTTCCTCTTTTGGGACTTGGTCAATTTGTCAGAACAAGGGTGTCGGTACTGATCAATAAAATTGAGGAAAAAAATAAGGTATTTTTCCTAATAGGGAAATGTGCTAGGCAGGTTAGAAAGAACATAGTGGAACTTCAATATACCTTCCAAAACGTGCAGCCCAATGCAGAGCAGTCCATCCATTAACATCACGAAAGTCAATACCGATGCCAGAATCAAGAATAGGATTTAGTGCCCACTCAAAGCCCAAGCCAGCAACCATATGTATTATCCCTTGCTCTTTCTTGGACAAGTGACATCCAGGAGTATCACCTTCCTTATGACATCTGGACAAAAGCCACCACTGCAACTTGTCCTTTAAAAGTTCTTGCAGAAGAGAATACATGATGCTGGATGCGGTCTCACTACCAACTAAGAGTGCATCTATGATATGTCCCCATGGATCTTCATCAACAATCAATTTGCTAAATTGGTCAGCTTCTGATTCAATACTATCCTCCTTCTGAGTAGATGAAACACAAAGAAGCATCTGTGCAAATCTGACAAGCAACAACAGTTCTTCTGTGCTCTCATTTACTCCTGCATGGGGTAGCTTACAGTGCTCACATCTCATCAGCTTCATGCGGTATTCAAACTCTTTGATCTCACTGCAGGATTCTTTATTTCCACTAGTGATACACACACTGACTTTTCCAGGAATGTGTGAAGGAGCCTGGCAACGAAGGACACCTTCCTGAATCATTTCTACAGGAACCTCAGTATCACCAAACATACAAGCCCATGCACATTCAGAAGGATCACAAAGAAAGGATCCAGTAATAATGACCTGCATTGAATCATTCCAATCATTAGATTTCCAAAACTGTACTGTGAAACACAATACCTTGTTGACAGCTTGAAAAGCAGAACGACAATGTCTGACCAGGGTATACTCTATATATTATAATTATATGATGTAGATTAAACCACTTGATACCCAGGGCTAAGCAATAGACTGCATAGGCATATGAGACTAGTCATTCAAACGCCATTAGAATAAACTGCCTAGGTATGATCTTTCTACCAAGTGGTTATCTAGTTTGAAATGATATAAGTTGTTTGTTTAATATGCTTGTAATATATAACTGCACATTCTTTTGTCTTAGTAAAGATATTATAACTGCATATATTTAAATTATAAAAAACAGTGTGCTTTGTGATATTACTTATAACTGATTAAACTTTTCTTGAATATGCTTATACTATAAAACTCAATATTAGTTTGCCTTAGTAAAGATACACCATATGTTTAAATTATCAAAACAGTGCATCTTGTATAGCTTGCAGTGTAACTCTTTTAATTTTGAATGAGCCGTGTCTCACTTCTTGCTATGGGTACCACTGTACCAGTGCTAGCCTGGCTCAGCCTGAAGCTCTTTAAATCCTGGTCCTCGTAATGGACTTCTGGCCCCTACGAGATCATGTTTTACATTAGGTCCAGCCTACATTAAGCACATAATTTTTTTTATGTACATATGTCTAATTAGACACATATACTCTCATATATGTGAATGTATTAATATATGTGTGTAAGATATGCTCTACAAATTAGAATATTGTGTATTCGTGTGTTATTATTATGTATTTAAATATGTATATTTTATACCATATGATTGTAAATATATATGTATTATGAAAGTATCATGCATATGTATATTTTGAATAATGGTAAGCATATGTAAAACACATATATAATATGTATTCCAATATGTTTTCATGTGTGAAATATTCTAAAAATTGTAGTTGTATTGCAAATTGTAGAAAAATCATAAGTGAATTGAATGGTAAATTGTATTATTGTTTCTTCTTTTTACAAGCTTGTCAAAAAAATAAAAAAATAGATATACTAAAAATCTAAATATATACAAGAAAGTGACTTTACCATATTTTTAATCCATATCTACCATATATGTGCCTAAAACAACAGAATTTACCACTTGTACACTAGAAGCCTAAGATGATATAACCAAGTTTAAATAATCCACATAAGATGGCTCTTTAACCTATATATGATGGAAAATAAACCTGGTATCTAGTTTTAAATAACCTAAATAAATCATTTTCTAGTAAGAACTTTAAAATAAATCTCCTTTAATAAGTTAAATAGAAGGAAAGAAATGTAGAGAACTAATTATTAACTGAAATGATTTAAATTGCATGAATTGTACAAATCATGAGAATAATAAATCAAATATAGGATTCAAACAAATATCGCAATTTCAGAAAAGGATTCATACATAAGATTCTAATCAAAGCCCTTTGGATTCATGATTCAAATGATGACTCATATTGTTAAAAGTGTCATATATCATGATTTGTTTTCTAGAAAGAATGGCCCAGATAAATAGGCAAAGTTGTCTGGACATGCCCAAAATGCATGGCTTAAAATGTAAATGCAAGTAAAAATATCACCCATCCAAATATAGAAAACATGCCAAAAAATGCTGTATGGAAATATTGTAAAAAATCTATATATTGTGTAAACATTGTGAAATATGCAAAAATATACAATAACATCATGAAATGATAAAAGAAGCATATACAGAATAGAAAACATGTCAAAAACATCATATGGAAATGTTGTAAAAATTCTATATATGGTGGAAACATTGTGAAATATGCGGAAATATACAATGATATCATGGAATGATAAAAGAAACATAGGTACACCCTTTTAGATTGTTATCTTGTTCTAAACCATCAAACAAATCCAAGAAACTGAGGTTAATAGATAAAACAATATGCTACAAAGTTGTCTGTAGACTTTAAGAGATAAAACTACATAAGAATAGGTTGGCAGTACTATTGCTACCAAAGATTTAGCATCACATCCAACAAGAATTTAGATCTATCTCAAAGTGGTCATCATTTCCATTAGGTTGGCAGTACTATTGCTACCAAAGATTTAGCATCACATCCAACAAGAATTTAGATCTATCTCAAAGTGGTCATCATTTCCATTAGGTTGGCAGTACTATTGCTACTCCACATATCTACAATAATGCTTCCAACTCATCATGTTATAATACCATCTTCTGTACTTCACATAGTGCTGGTAGTTTTTATTGGGGAATGTGTTGATTCTAATAATACTTTGTGTTGATAGCCATGGGAATGGAAACATTTTGTGGAAATATTAGGAAATATATGGACATTTCAAATCATGCCAAAACACAGGTTAGGCTATGCCCATGTTGGCTGCTCAAAATGTGGACTTGGACAGGCCCAGGCCTATCTGAAAACCTTGTAACATAGCTGATTCCATATCCCTCTTGTCTTCCCTTTTCATTTCCCTCTCCTTATCACCAACAGGCTTTGATTTCACTGCTTCCAAGGCTGATTCCATGGGTGGAATTGTAACATAACTTTCCTTCTACTCTCTTCACTATGTACTAGCAAATAGGCTTGAGACAAGGTGACACTGTCTCTAGCGAGTAATTGTTGCCTTACAATATCATAATCTGAATTCAGTCCAGCAAGAAATTCAAACACCCTATTTGTTTCAACCAACTTCCTATATGTTGTTGCATCCTTTTGGCTTTCCCATTCAATGGTCTCCAAGTGATCAATCTCATGCCACAGAGATTTTAAGGTAGAGAAGTAAATTGATACAGGTTTCTCCCCCTATTTAAGGTTGGTTATTTACTTCACTTTTCAGCTCATATGCCCTAGCAACATTAAGGGGTTGTGAGTAGGTTTCCTTCCTACTCTTCCAGATTTCCTTAGTAGGCTTCACCCATAAGTACTTTCTACTGATGTGTGGCTGCATAGAGTTGCAAAGCCAAGTCATCACTAGATAGTTTTCTTGAACCCATTTGCATAGGTTGAATATTCCTTTGCTGGTTTTTTAATGTCTCTAGTTACATATCCAAGCTTTCCCCTTCCCCTAACGGCCACCATGGCTGATTGGGCCCATTCCAGGTAACTTTTGCCATCAAATTTAACAATAGTAATCTGAAAAGTATTATCTGACATACTCACAGACCCCATAGATCCTTCTCCAAAGTATTTTGGTTCCTTCCCACCTGTTTCCATACTGATCACACTACAAAGACCTCACAAAAACTCCCTTAACAGGTCTGAAACAGAGCTTGTGCAGTAGTCCAGTACAAACTACAGGTCTGAACTACTCCCTTAATAATCCAGTAGTGAAATCAGAACAGTAGAAGTCAATGGGGTAGGTTAAAAGACACTAGAACTAACCTGCTCTCAGTATAAACCCTAGAACCAGCCTAGAGAGAAACACAAAAGACTCAGCCGCACCTTCCAGAAGACCCCAATCACTTCCTACAAGTTGTCGATCTCATAAAGGAACTATTTTCTACTCAGAAACCACTGAGCGCTAGTACCAATTGAAGGTTTAGCCCCTGTTACGCAGGAGAGAAGAGAGGAAGAGAGAAGAGAGAGAGAGAGAAGAAGAGAGAAAAGAGATTTGAGAGCCAAAAGTGTTGCTGGCGGCGCCAGCTATTAGTATTTATACTAGGGCGACAGTATAAAAAATAAAAGGAGAAAGTTACAATAGTACCCCTGCGGTACTATACTTAAAGAATTAACAGTTTTTAACACTCCCCCTCAAGTTTCAATCATGCCCAACTTGCCACATAAATCGAGATGCCGCGATTGATGTAGCCCTTTTGTAAAGATGTCTGCAAGTTGATCTTCAGAGCTAACATAAGGAGTACACACTTCCCCTGTGACAACCTTTTCTCTAGTAAAGTGTTTGTCGACTTCGATGTGTTTAGTTCTATCATGCAACACTGAATTAGCAGCAATGTTTATGGCTGCTTTGTTATCACAGAATAGGATCATAGGTCCGTCAACTGGAAAGCCCAACTCATTCAACAAATTTTTTAGCCACATAATTTCAGCCACTCCATGAGACATAGCCCGATATTCAGCTTCAGCACTAGATCTAGCTACCACATTCTGCTTTTTACTTCTCCAGGTAACTACATTCCCTCCTACAAAGGTACAGTAGCCACTAGTTGACTTTCTATCATTCAGGGATCTTGCCCAATCTGCATTAGTATACACTTCAACTTTCAAATGCCCGTGCTTTTGAAACAACAAGCCTACACCTGGGAACTTCTTAAGGTATCTGAGAACTCTTTCTACTGCTTCAAGATGGGTAGTTTTAGGGGCATGCATGAACTTGCTAAGAACACCCACTGCATAAGCAATGTTTGGTCGAGTCATAGAAAGATAATAACAATCTTCCTACAAGTCTCTGAAATTGTTTCACATCCTTGATGGGTTCATCTTGACAATCACCTAATTTGTGGTTAGGATCAATAGGGGAATCAACTGGCTTCACTCCCAATTTTCCTGTATCCTGGAGTAGATCTAGGACATACTTTCTTTGGGAAATGAAGATACCCTTTTGTGAGTGGACCACTTCAATCCCAAGGAAGTACTGTAAAGGACCTAGATCCTTTACTTCAAATTGGGTAGCAAGAAAATTCTTCAACTTTTGAATTTCATCCTTCCAATCACCAGTGACAACTATATCAACATATACTATCAGTGCTGCAATTTTTCCTTTCCCTCTTTTCACAAGCAACGTGTGATTAGATTGACACTACTTGTATCCTCTTTGCTGAACTGCTACATGGAACTTGCAGAACCAGGCTCTTGGTGATTGTTTCAGCCCGTATAATGATTTCTTTAACCTACACACTTTCTGTTCATTACATTGAGCCCGGAAACCAGGGGGTTGTACCATATATACTTCCTCTTCAAGGTCACCATTCAGAAAGGCATTCTTGATGTCAAGCTGATGGAGATCCT